TGCACTTTACTTTCTATAGGAATATGATCTTACTGGTCATTTTATTCATTACCCTTAGGAAACTCTTGCCCAGGCAAATAATTTAATGTTCTTTACAGGAATTTCCTCCAAAAAAGACTCATCTATGTTTCAAACAAAAGCACCCACTGTTCACATTCCAAGATTCTTAAACTTCTTTACTTCAAAGTTCTTGCCTGGCTGTGCTACTAACCCTGAAGTAGTAAACTATTTCCCAACAAAGATCCTCCCCAAGCCTCTTGAAACTTCCTATTTCATCATCATTCTAACCCTAAAAATCATGAATCTTTAGAATTTATTCCATCCTGGCCAGACTAGAGCTGCTGGCCAGCCTGTTCTACTTTCACATGGCCATCTGTCTTTCTAAAACAAGCAGTCACTTGCCGGAGCTTGCCAGCTAGGGAAGAGGGTTTGAGTTGCTGTCAGAGACAAACAAATGGGAAACAGGAGAGTTTGGAAGTCAGGTGAGTGTGGTCTTCAGTCTGGAAAATTGTTCTATAAAAGCTAATTCTTTGAATAAGCAAACTTGAGTGAGTGGCTCACGAGAATGTCACAGTGAAAGGTCAGGCAGCCCACCTGAGTGAGCTCTGAAGGTAGGGAATGAAAGGTAACGGAACATGACTGGCTGTCCATGACAGTCATTTAGTAAAGCTGCCAGCTGACATGGGGTGGAGAAGAGAAGAAAGGGATGGGGGTGCTGCAAGGAGTTGGGGGACCACAGAAATGGAGACAGACTTCCTGGGGGAGTCAAAAAGGGAAGACAAGAAAGTCAACAAGAGAAACCACAAGTGGGGAAAAGGAGCTGCTTTCTGGGGTCAGAAGAGAACCCAACCCTTTCTCAAAGGTGATTTTTCTCCTGAACAGAGGAGTGGAGTATGTCTACACTGCTACTAGACTAACCAAGACTGGAGAGAGGAAATAAGAAGCAAATGTAGCAGCAGAACCCTCTGAAAGTCAGGAAGAATGGGGCCAGGAGATAAATACCAAAGAGCCTTTAAGTAAAGATGGATGACAGTCCAAATTTGAATGATACCCAGCATGCCTGGGAAGATGAATTTGAATCACACAATTTGCAGCTTAGCAGTAATGGCCCAAGGATGCAGGAAGTGAGCTAGCTATGCTCCTGAAAGCCACGATCCTGGAAGAAAGGAGCAGGATCAGGTTTAGCATGGCAGAGTGGGATGGACAGGCCTTTCCTAGCTTGGATATTGGAGTGACTACACAGAAGAGGCTATGCTAGCCTCCTGTCCATCCACGCAGTACTGTTCCATGAGCAAGAAATAAATCTCACTCACCTTAGGGTTGTTTCATGTTTTTATTTCTTGTAATTTGCTTGCCCAATGAGCACAGTAGGCATACATAAAATGCATAAATACCTAATAGTGCTAATTTCAGGTATGTGGGTTTGGAACTGAGAAATGGTGAAAGCTCTATTTCATTTTGCCTCACAAATTGCATTAAAAGTCAGACAGGGCTGGAGAAATGGCTCAGCAGTTAAGAGCACTGGCTGCTCTTGCAGAGGACCCAGGTTCAATTCCCACACCCACACAATGGCTAATAACCATACATACCTCCAATTCTAAGAGATCCAATGCCCTCTTGTGACCTCCATGGGAATTGCATGACACAGGTGCACTTACATACATTCATATATATTCATACACATAAAAATAATAAATAAAAAATTTAAAAAGTCAGACAAAAACCCCAGTATACTTTTCATCAAATCAAAGCAAAATGTACTTCATATTTTAAAAGTTTTTAGAATATGCAACACTGGATAAATTTATGTGTGCTTTTCTATGGACTCTGGCGATTTATCTGTACTGAAGAAAAGTTTGAGGCTCTTTGAGCTTACTGATTGAAAGGTCAGGGCAAATATAGATTGAGTGCATTTATTTTCCAGTGGTGGGGCTCAAACTCAGAGGTTCACATATGCTAGGCCAGTGCTGTACCACCTCTGAGCTATATCCCTAGCCCTTGGTTTCTTGAGACAAAGCCTTGTTGTATAGCTATGGCTAGACTTGAACTCTGTTATATCCCAGGCTAGCCTTGAACTTGGCAATCCTTCTGCCTCAGTCTCAATGCTGGGATCTTAGTCTTAGCCACACCTGGCTCTCAGTGTATTTCTTATCATCTGGGCTGGCTCTACCAGTGAGATGCTGAAAACTGCCTTCTGTGAAGCAGGCAAAAGTCATCCTTGTTTGTAGAGAAACCATGGAAACACTTTGAAGTTAATTGGCTGAGCTGATGCACCATCATGGGCAGCACTGGACCATATCCTAGGGTTTCTATCTTCAAACACAGTCCTCTTCTCTCCTCCCTGTGCCTCCTCATGGCTCCTCTCCTCTCCTCTCCTCTCCTCTCCTCTCCTCTCCTCTCCTCCCCCACCCCTCTCTCTCCTCCTTCCCCCTCTCTTCCTCCTCCCCCTCTCCTCTTCCTCTTCCTCCCCTGAATAGTGTTTCAAGGAGATCATCACTGTGTTGCTTTTGGAACAA